TGAATATGGACATCATGCACATTTGGAATGTGGTGGGTGCATTGCATAGGCCAAAAGGCATCCTCCGGAAGGCATAAATCCCATATGGACATGTGAACAAGGTCTTCTCTCTATCCTCTAGTGCAATGGAGATTTGGTTGTAACCCGAGTACCCATCCAGAAAACAGAAGTGGGACCTCCCTGCCAGTCTGTCAAGCATCTGATCAATGAAGGGAAGTGGGAAGTGGTCTTTCCGGGTGGCTAGATTCAATTTCCTATAGTCCATACAAATTTTCCAGCCTGTGACGGTTCTTGTAGAGATCAGCTCATTGTTATCATTTTTTACCACCGTCATACCACCCTTCTTAGGAACACATTACACCGAGCTAACCCAGTTGTTGTCAGAGATGGGGAAAATGATTCCCGCATCTAACCACTTAATGATCTCCTTTTTCACCACTTCCTTCATGTTGGGGTTCAGCCTTCTTTGGTGCTCCCTGGAAGGTTTGTGCCCCTCTTCCAGCAGAATTTTATGCATACAATATGCCGGGCTGATCCCCTTAATGTCTGTCATGGTCCACCCAATGGTAGTCTTGCACTCCGAGAGTACCTTCAAAAGCTGTTGTGCCTGCACATCTAACAAACTAGATGAGATAATAACAGGTAATGTGGAGTTAGGTCCTAGGAATGCATACCTGATATGGGCGGGCAGTGGCTTCAACTCCAGCTTTGGTGGTTCTTCTATGGATGGCTTGGCTGGAGGAGTTTCTCTTTTTTCTAAGTGTAGGGGCTCAAATTCAAGTGATCTCTCCCAAAAGCCTTTGCCCTCAAGAGTCAGCACCCATTCTGCCAATTCTTCCCCATTCACCTCATCTAAATTCATAAGACATGCAGCAAGAGGATCCTCAATAGTCAATGTCTCATCATCCTCTTCCAAGATTACATCCACGGCATCAATAAGAGAATAATTGGCAAATTCACTTGGTCGCCTCATAGATTTCTGCACGTTGAATGTTATCTCATCGTTCAACCTCATCTTGAGCTCCCCAGTTTCACAATCAATGAGGGCTCGCCCTGTGGCCAAGAACGGCCTTCCCAAAATTATGGGAATTTCTTCATCCACTCTACAATCCAGTATCACAAAATCTGCAGTGAACACAAATTTCCCTACCTGTATCAACACGTCATCCGAAATACCTGAGGGTCTTTTCACAGTTCTGTCAGCCAGCTGCAATAACATAGACGTGGGTCTAGCTTTTCCAATCCCCAACCTCTTATAGATCGCTAGGGGCATAAGATTTATGCTAGCCCCTAAATCACAGAGTGTCTTGGCAAAGGCAAAGTTACCAATGGTGCAGGGAATTGTGAAACTCCCTGGATCAGACAACTTTTCAGCAACTGGTCTAGTCACCACAGCACTACAGGTCTGAGTTAGATCAGTGTGGACAAGTCTTGGAAGTCGAATTTTCGGGACATCAAATCCTTCATCATTTTTGCATAACCAGGCATCTCCTTCAAAGCATCAATCAATGGAATATTTACCTGAATTTGTTTCAACATCTCCAAGAATTTCTTGTATTGTTCATCTTTCTGGTATTTGGCTAGCCTCTGTGGGAATGGTGTTGGAGGTCTCTTCTTCCCAGTGATTTGGGTTTTCTCTTTGTCAGACACCACCTCAACTACCAGTTCTTGGGCTGTCTCAGCTTCTTTCTCAGCCTCAATCTGTGTGTTGGTTTCTTCCTGGGCAGGCTGTACTGTCAACTCTGTCAGTTTTGCTGAATCATCTAGCTCAATGGGCACTGGTACAAGTGTCTCAGCCTGTCTGCTTTCTCGAGCCCTCTCTTGCTCCAAGTCTAGGTCTCTGCCATTACGTAGACTCACTGCCATCAGCTGCTTTGGGCCTTGATCTTTTGGATTTACTTGAGTGTCTGCAGGCAATGTCCCATGAGGACGATTATTCAAAGACATCGAGATCTGGACCATTTGCACTTCAATATTCTTTATGGCTGACTCATGTGCATCTACTCTTTCACTCATTTCGCATTTGACCCAATAACCTGCTGCATCATTGCCTCGAGTCTAGCAAACTCATCTTCCTGTCTCTCACCATGTTGCTGCTGAGAAGGATGATAACCCTGCTGCTGATTTTGGTTGTTATACCCCTGTGGCCTTTGGTAGGGCACCACATTATCGTGAGGTCGCATGGCTCACATATTTTCATTGTTGTGTTGCGGCTGGACTGGCCTATATGGATGATTCTGTTGGCCCCAATTCTGACCACCCTGTCTCTGGCCCCCATAATTAGACACATAATCATGTTCTCAGGGTAGTGATGATGATCACTTTCCGCATTCCATTGGCTACCAATTGGCTGACTAATGCACGATGTGCATAAGCCCCCATTGGTTGTATCTACAATATGCACCTGCTGGTTTTGCCCTGACTCTTCCACCTTTTTGGTGAGTATGCTCATTTGTGTCATTAAGGTGGCCATATTCTCTGCAAGAGTGTTGGCTGGATCTAAGGCCACTGAGTGAACTACTGGAGTGATAGGTGCATTCCTGGTTGTCCACCCCGAATTCTGTGCCATCTTGTCAAGCAGGATCTGGCTTTCTCTCCATGATTTGCTCAAGAATGCTCCACCAGCTGAAGCATCAACATTAGCCTTCACGCTATCTGTCAGACCCATGTACAACCGCTGCCCCAACATCTGCTCCGGAATACCGTGGTGCGGACATATAACCAACATCCCTTTGAATCGTTCCCATGTTTCTTGCAATGTTTCCATTGGTTTCTGTCTGAAGCTCAAAATTTCATCAATTTGTTGAGAAGTCTTGTTGGGTGGATGAAACTTATTCACAAATTGCTTGACTAACTCCTCCCAAATCGTGATGGAATTAATAGGGATTGAATTTAGCCAAGTCTGGGCAGCTCCTGTCACTAAGAATGGAAACAACAACAGCTTTATTGCTTCCTGAGTTATGTTGGGCTGCCTTTGAGTTTTGCAGATTGACAGGAAATTCTTCAAGTGTTGTTGAGGATCTTCAATGTATGACCCCGAAAATAGTCTCTTGTTTTGCAACAAATGCAGCATGTTGTTTGTGATTTGAAAAGATTCAGCCTGTATCTGCGGGACTACTATCGTTGTGGCCAAATTCTCTGCTGTGGGTTGCGCCCAGTCATATAGAGGAGCCTCTGGCACAAGAGGCGCCACTACCTGCGCAGCTGGGTCTACCACATTATCCCCGTTGTTGTTTCTGTTGTTTACCAGCTCTGCCATGTCTGGTTCAGGTTGTTAAGTTGATTGTTGTTGTTTGTTTTTCCGGTTGGCCCGATTCAAGGCCTTGAAAACTTTCTCGGGATCTGATAATGCTTCAAATACTTCACCAGTTCTCGATGAGTTTCTAGGCATGCACCTGTACAACCAAGTTAGCAAACGTTAAAATTTTAATGTATGGATTGAATATGAAGAAAATTGACTACACTAATAATTTTTGTATTTCTTTCAACTGTAATTGATAACACCGTTAATTCCGCGGCAACGGCGCCAAAAGTTGATCACGCCCAACTATGCCTTATAAAAAGGACAAAGCGATCGTTGCAAATATAATCCGAGTATTTAGCCTAGAGTCGAATCCCACAGGGAATTAACCTACCAATTACTTTTGTCAGCCTCACTGAATTCTCCGTAATCAACTTCCCAGATATTTTGAATAACACTTGGTGACATTTCTACTAACTATAACTGAATAAAATTAAGTAAACTAAAAGCTACTATGACTGAGTTGTAAACAAATAAGAGAAGGATCTAAGGTTGTGATTTTCCCTATTGATGGATCCCTCCCTGTTATGTTTCGTATAGATTTGCCTATTCGTCTCTATGGATCATGAGCACTCTTACTACCGTAAATCTCTCCCGAGTAATTACGACAATTTACTAGACGCACTCTCCCGAGTTACGCTAGCTGGATTTTATTACAGCTCACTTAGATCGCACCCAAGGTTTCGTTATCCCTAATCCCACTTTTAAACCCTCGGTTATTGATTCCTCATATACTTTGGGAGTGGTGTAGTTCAACAACTACCTAAATATGCACTCTCTTCCGAGAAATACATATTAAATAGGCACAGCTAATTGAGGATCCTTTCAATTAACTACAACAAGACCGTAGTTGAACAAATAGAGATTAAACTGGGCAAACTATATTAACACAACAAGAAGTTCATCCCTCAACAGATTCCATCAAAACCTTAGACCAAATAATTAGTTACTCATAATTGTGTTCATAATAACAACAGCAAAATTCATCATGAATGATAAAAACAAAAGGAAGAAAGGTAGAACTCGATGCCGAATTATCCTCGTTGCCTCTTGCCTCTTCTTGCCTTGAACAAAACTATAAAAACCTTGATATCCTCTTTTTGGGCGAGCTGGACCTCTTATAGGTTAAGTGGAATTGCTCCCAAACTTCCAAGTTTACCCCAAGAATTTCCGCGTTTCAAAGTGACTAGCGCGGCCGCGCTCGAACCGCGCATGGGCCGCGCTAATGGCGTTCTACACTGTCGCTGCTTCCTGGACTAGCGCGGCCGCTCTCGTGACCGCGCTTGGGCCGCGCTAATCGACTTCAACACTGCCCCGTTTCTTCTGCTCTAGCGTGGTCGCGCTAAGGCCGCGCTTGGCCCGCGCTAAAGTGGATCAGCTATTTATCTCTTCTTTTCTTTCTTCTTTCACACGTACTCAACTCCGAGGTGCTTTCCTTGCTTTAATTTAGCTCCAAACACTGTCCTAAGTCCTCATAAGCACGACTTGCTCCTGCAAAACATAAAATTCACAGTTAGAGCCATTTTATCGTTATTTAACCTTCCAAGAACAGTGAAGTATAGACGAGTTGGGGCATAAATAGTCGCCAAACTACATGAATCTAGCCTATTATCAAATACCGAGTCGAAAACCAAAAAAGAGAGGTTTTCAAGTTACTTAATATTCTACTATTAGAAATTACATGTAATGACATTCAAAATTAAGGCACCCAACTCTTATTAACAAGGTTAGATGATTCAATTCTTTGACATCCTCACTGGAAGCACATTGAGTATGAACAAGATTTGACTACAGCTCAATACAATACACTAAATGAAAAGAAGGAAAAAAAAAAAAAAACCAAGCAAATTGAACTGGCTGCTCCCTCTAAGGTCCCTCAGCTATCCCAATATCTGTTACGATTTATCGGACTTCCCATTGCTCTTAACACCAGTAACAATCGCTACAAGTTCGTTTGTCTTCCCATTAATCCTGGCCTCCGCGATAATAGGAATGGTTTCGCTTTCCCTCCCGTTGCTCTTCTCAGAAACTTGATAGTTTCTTTCTCTACAGTTTTTTGAGATGTGCCCCTCCTTGCCACAACTATAGCACTGCCCGTTAATCTTAGCTTCTGTAACAGGAATGGTTTCGCTTTCCTTCCCGTTGCTCTTCTCAAGGACTTGATAGTTTCTTTCTGTACAATATTTTGAGATGTGCCCCTCCTTGCCACAATTATAGCACTGCCCGTTAATCTTAGCTTCTGTGACAACAGGAAACGTTTCGCTTTCCCTCCCGTTGCTCTTCTCACAGACTTGATAGTTTCTTTCTGTACAATATTTTGAGATGTGCCCCTCCTTGCCACAATTATAGCACTGCTTCTTCGACAGGTCCTTTTTTCGTGCTCCAACTCTCTTCTCATGTTTATCATTTCTGTAGCGATTGCGACAATTTTCTTCCACTCTTAGATGATGCATTAACATGTCGAGAGACAGAACATTTTCATGCATCAACCTTGTACGACAGTCCTTCCAAGAGGGGGGAAGTTTTGCAATAATAGCACTAATATGGAAGTTCTCGTCTATCCAGATTCCTGATGCCATGAGAGAATCAACAATCTTGTGAAGCTCCTGAACCTGCTCAAGAATCGATATGCCATCAACCATTTGGAACTGCAAATATTTGTTAACTTCGGAACTCTTCGTTCCAAAATCCTCATCAAAAGTTGATCTAAGCTCTTCCCACAGTTCTTTGGCACTGTAGTTCTTCTTTGAGTATTCTTCAAAAAGCTTGTCGGATAGAGAGTTCAATATGTTGCGACAACTAAGGTAGTCATCATCAACCCATTTCTGTCGGTTTTCAAGAGTGTTCGGGCAAGGCTCACTGAGCACATATGCAATATTCAATTGCTTTAGGAAAAATTCTGTTTGATGCTTCCAGCAATAGTAATTTTTTCCATCAAGACGAATAGTCTTAATAGGCATCTGGGCAAGGGAAGTTGTACGAGAACTCTGTTGTATGTGTCCCTGAGGTGAGAAGCAAGGAAGGGAATTAGAAATATCAGCTTCTGTTTGTTGTCTCTCAATAGGCATCTGCACCTGAGAGTTAGTAATTATTGCTGAATTACAGACATCATCTCCATTTTCGTTTCTGACGGCAGAAAGCTTCCCCTCTTGATGGTTAACTGACTGGGAAATATTGGTCTGAATTTGTTCTCTTCCTTGAGCAGCCACGTCTGCTGCAGTCTGATTTTCACAAGTTGTCAATCTAGAAATGATAAATTGGATCATTCATGCCAATCAAATAAGACTAACCAAAAAACATTTTATGTTTATGAGTTCAGTTGTCTTTCAGTGATAAATTGAAATGGATTTCGGTGTTTATTCAGTTGGCTACCAGGATTCTCACCTAATTTTCGACTCCATCGTTGCAATGGCTTCCACAATAGCTGGGAAGCTACTCCTGAATGATGACCATTGTTGAGCACTCAAATTAATTCCTGATTTCATATGTAGGTGGTAATTGTCAATTCTTATGAAAAGAGTGTAACACATAAGAAGAGAAATAAAGGAAAAATTAAAACAATATCTATGCGTTTCACTTGACAAGCGAACAATTTAATGCAGCGAGAAAGCAAAGAAAAGACAATATTCACTGAAAAGCCTTTTCAGAATGATAAAGAAATCGACCTTGGGCCTAACTCAACCCCAAAAGTGAGCTCAAGAGATGAAGATTGCCCAAGATCATATATAAGGAGACAAATGGACTCCCACCTAACCATGTGGGATACTAACACCCCCCAACCCACCCCCACGCTCTGGCACCTGGAGCGTGAACAATATAAGATGAGGGCCCAACATCGGGTGAAACAAGAATTGGATAGGCGGGGCTCTGATGCCATAAAATCAAATGGAAGAAGTTGTATTTCACTATCTCTGAAGTATATGTACTTGTACAATTACTACAGGCCCTATCTAAAGTAAGTAAATATCCTACACATCTCTCCTATGATTTAGCTAGCTATATTAGGTAAGAGAATATGTTTACAATATTATGTAACACAAAATAACACTGACACAAGGATGCCTCAATAAAAGATTCTTTGCTTTAGACGGATTTGGAAGCACAAGTCTGATGGTGACTTAAGAGGGGAGAGGCGGAGGAGGGTTCACTCATAAGGTAGGATAATTAATGACGTTCAACTCTAGAGAAGCCCAGAAGAACGAGAAATTGGAGACCTCTTTGGTTTCTCCTGCTTTTCCACAACAGAGTTGAAAAGTAAATGGACCTTAAGAAGACAACAACCCATTTGCTCAACCAATGTGAGACATTCTAACACCCGCCTCTCCACGCACACGTAAGACTGGATATTTGTAGCATAGACAATACAACATTGGGGCCCAACATTGGATCAACCAAGAATAAGGATGGATTTGTCTCTGATACCATGTAAAGAAAATGAACCTTTACATAGGCGAGAATTGTCCAAGATCATACAAGGAGGCAACTGCCCACTCACTCCACCAACGTGAGACATACATTCTAAAAGTAAAGTGCATCATGTTACACTTTAGACACAACCACAAAAACAATGCTCTGTTGAATACACAATTGAACTAAGTCGGAAGTATGGAAGGTTTTAGATGATTCGAGTGAGTTGAAAATGGTTGTTAATTCGCAAAATACACATATTGCTAATAGGTCAAAAGACGCTACGGAAACATGCTTGCCCAGACTTCAACCAAACTAACTGGTCCCTATTTGCTTCCACCTTATCCCCCAAAAGAATAAAAATCTATTTAGTTTCAGACCAAATTTACAAGATTGAGCCATATCAAAATCAAAGTTCTATTATTTGAGTACTTTTGTCAAGGAAAAGGTAAGGGAAATGTAACACATGCTATCTCCCTATTAACTATAAAGTACAATTAGTGGGCATACATGAAACAGGAAAAAGAAAATCTAAGAAGTGGACTAGACTTTACAGTAGGATAAGGAACCCAGCGATGGTTTAATAACAAAGGGATTAGTAATTCTCTACAACCTATAACTCCATTTTACAATATCAATCCAGGGGGTTTGTCATCTTCCCTTATTCAATCTGATTACTAGATTATTTTTTTGATAAGGTAAATAATTTTATTGATAATGGGAAAATCTCCTGTATACAAGCAGTACACCAAAAAGTAAAGAACCTACAACATAATATATGATCCTCTACGAATGACAACAAATCTACCATACATATTAAACCTCATGGGTGCACCAAGTAGACTAATTAATGAGGTTAATTAATTAGAAGTCAAACCTTACTAATTTAATTATCTGTATAACTTCTTCATCAAAAAAAGTTATCTATATAACTTGAATATCAATTACAACTGACTCAAGTTGTCAAAATTTCCTTGGTTATCTTACGACAAATCTCAAACATGTGTTTAATCAAATATCATACTACTTGTTAGCTTTGTACGCTTCCATAGTCCTTGCTTTCTAACTATGGCTGTGACCTAAAAACACTAAAATGCTTCGATAAATGCTTATATATCTGCCCTGGAAAAGCCTAAATCAGAGTGTAGATAAGACTGGAGCAGAGGCGAAGCTACGATTTTGAGCATATGGTTTCTAGAATTCAGGTCAGAATAACTTACAGGGTTCGGACTAGATTATCTTCACTTATTAAATAGATTTCTTAACATAAATACAGGGTATGACCCGAAGTTACTGGGTTCGACCGAATTCGTAGCTACACTTGTAGCTCCGCCACTGGACTTGAGGATCTGTAAAAGCTTATTTTAAGTGGTTGTATGCTAAGTTTTCTTCTCCAAGGTCAGAAAAAGGTTCAAGAAAATTATGAAAACAGTGTCTTTCTTCCTTAGGTAGGGAAAGAAAATTAAGGTAATAGCTACAATTTGACGAGATATTTAAGAAACAGCATGAGAAAAACAAAGGAACTCTGGTATTAGTGGTTCGTGTGGATATAGAGTAAAAAATCAACCAATCAACTAGGTAACAAATCAAGCAATTCATGATTAGCTAAGTAAACTCACCTCTGGAAGAAGGAACCAGCTTTCCGTCTTTTTCATAAAAGTCACGTATTGCCACAAAGGGCTTCCCGTGAATGTCAAGAATCCCGATACTCCTCTTGTCTGACAGCTACACAAGAGGAACCAGCAAACTTAGGGAAAAATAGAACATATACGTTCATTTTAAGTTCTAAAACAATTTAAAATCCATTCAGTCAAATTTAGAAAAGGAAGTCACTCATCTGGGGTTCAGTCATACAAGCTATAATTAGGTCGGGCAATAACACAAAAATGAAAAATTGCATAGCAGAATGGAAATGTCATGTCTTTGTTCAGAACTATCGGAATATGCCACAAGCATTTTAACCATATACAAGAAATCCAGCATATCCTTTCGCAAATTCTTTATTCTTTTTCATTTGTTATCCCTTTGATTTGACCAGATATGTTATTTTTCCCGTGCAAAACAGCAAATATAGTAGCAAGAGTTGATAATCGAAATGCAGTGATCATGAGTTGCCGCATGAATCGCTGCAAATACAACCAGCAAATGATATAGGATTCTGCATTCCTATTGAGATTTCATATTCCACTTGCAAAATGGGATAGTTACAAGCAAAACTACTCAACTAGACCAGCAAAGGATACAGGCTTATCCTCGATTTTGTTTCGTCACAAAATTCACCGATTAAAGTTAAGAACTCATCAAATTTCTACTGATAATAGCTTTTATCTCGGAGTATCCATTCAACTGAAACTACTCAGCCCCTCTTTCTACTTTTTCCTTAAGCCAAAAACCGAGCGTTTTTGAGTTGTGCAATAGGCTAAAACAAGTTCAGCACAATAAGGGGTCGTTTGGTTGGGAAACAAGTTATCCCACGACTGTTATCCCACTCTCCCCTAGAGATAAAATAACACTACAATAGTACAATACTGGGATAACTAGTCCCTGGATTAGTTACACCGGTTTTATCCCAATCAAATGTGGCATAAACTTGTCTCAAATTTAATCCCGGGATTAATTATCCTTTATCCCTCGTACGAGCCCTAAGGATTTTACTTTGTAAGACTCCAATCATAAAAAAGACTTAATTTTCAGATTTGACCAGTTTGCACGCACCTGAACTATTCTACCTGCTAACTCCCACGAGCACAGATATCACCTATTTTTTTTTTTTTTTTTGTGCCTAAAACATCACTATTCTAACAAAAGAAAAATTAGCTGATATTCACTAACCTTACAAATAGTTCGACAATTATTCTCATTGGAATCAAGAAAATTCCCATTAGGCAATGAACCATCTGCTTCTTGTTTTTGAGTAGGTACGTTGTCTGCTGACAATTGTACTTCAGCTACAAAATCCAATGTGGGTTGTTCAACTGTTGAGAGTAAAAAAGACTCAATAACATGCCTTATAAACTGCTTCTCTTGAATGTTCAATATCTCAGTACCAAGCTGCTGGGCTACAGTGGTTCGAACACTGTACTCTGTTGCTGTTTCTATGTCAGCTGTTTTAAGGATGTCCAACACAACTTCTCGAATTTTTCGGCGTTTCGGTTCTGGTAGTTGTTCTTCCATTATTCACTGTGTGTGTGTGTGAAAAAGGGAGTGAAAGAAGAAGAAGAGTAAAAGTGAATTAGTAAGAAAAATTAGGGGATTAGGGATTAGAGTTTGAAATGTTTAGTATTAAGATAGATAGAGTAGCAGTTGAATAAGTAGATAGAAAGGGGGGGAAATAAAGGGAAAAAAAACAGAAAAGAAAAGGTTCCACCGAGATTTGAACTCGGGTTACTGGATTCAGAGTCCAATGTCCTGACCACTAGACCATGGAACCATATTTGTTATGTTGCCGCAGATTTACTTTTTTAATCAGTAATTAATGGTACCTCGTATAAAAGCTTAGAATCTGCAAACCGGCTATTTATGTAAGGATCTCTTTATAAAATGGCCTATATTGGTCCTGATCTTCAATCTCACCATTTGGTAAAAGACGAAGGCACCACTACATCTGCAAAACATCAGGTTAATTTTTCTGTTTACTTTCTTTGCTTCGTGCATTAATTCCTCAACTTCTAATTCTCAAAATTAGCAAACACGCATTTTGAAATTTTATTACACCACTTGTTTAGTAGTACTATCAAAGTGTTTGTGAAAATGTCTCAATGAAAGTTGATAACTTTATGTCAAAAATGTACTTTGCTCCTTATGTTTTGTCTTGGTTACAGATTAAGGGTTTTGTTGAAGCAGTTGAATAGTGATGTTTCTACGCCGAGTTGCATCAAATACATTACCTCTATCGAGAAGGTTATTTTGCAGTATTGGTAGCCATGATATTTCCAAAGCTATTTCTGAGCTTAATCAGGTATGTATATCATAATTATGTGCTGGATATTTCATTGTTTGAAGGCTGGATATTGTTCTGCTAAACACATTTTTAAATTATATCAACTGATTGAAATTTTTCTGTTTCTTTCTTTTTTTAAATTAAACAATTGACAAGAATCTCATCGTTTATTATCTGGGCCAACTGACGGATCAAATGGCTTGGGTGTCGATAAGTACTGAGCTGAAAACTCTTTCTTAAAATAGTGTTCATCCAAGAAAGTCTTTTCTAATAAAAAAAAATGCCACTTTACTTGAGAAGATGCAGATAAAAGGCCAATTGGCTCTCATTATCCCCAAAAGAAAGGCGCCAATCGCCTCTTGTCAGCTTCTATAGAGTAAACCATGGAGTTTATTCAAGAACCATTTATCTTAGTTGGTCTGGGTCAGAATGTATGCTTATTTCTCAATCAGAGCTTTGAAAATGACATGGTCTGCGGAGCGTAAATATGAGCCTTGAAAGTTAATACAGGACTCTTATAGCCCGTTTGGCCAAGCTTCTAAAATCAGCTTATTTTGAGAAGTGTTTTTCTCAAAAGTACTTTTAAAAAAAGTGCAAGTAGTTTGTGTTTGGCTAATTAATTAGAAAAGCACTTTTGAGCAGTAATTAGTGTTTGGCCAAGCTTTTGAAAACTGCTTCTAAGTGTATTTTTCTCAGAAAAGTGCTTTTGGAGAGAAGCTATTTTTTTCTGCTTCTGCTTCTCCTCAAAAGCACTTTTTTTTCCTTTCCAAAAGCTTGGCCGAACACCTCAATTTTTTGCCAAAAGTGTTTTTGGCCAAAAAAAGCACTTTTGGCTAAAAAAAAAGCTTGGCCAAACAGGCTAACCAAAAGAGAAAATTGTGTGTGTGTGTGTGTGTGGTGGGGTGGG